TGTCATTTATGAGTTGCTTTTCATGGAACCTACATAAGGTGGCTTTAAAAAGATCAGTATATGTACTCACTATCAAATTGGTATTAACCGATCAACACTTAAGTGCACATATAGTAATAACATTCACTGAGTGTCCGCAGATGGGAAGGGGGAGGAGGGGCCGGATATATTCAGACCTAAAGGGTGCGGTGCACCGCCTGGGGGATGGACACACTTGAAGCTCTGACTTGAGTGGGGCAAAGGCGATATATATAACCTAAACATTTGTACCAGTGTAATATGCTGAAATAAAAAAAAAAGATCAGTATATGAAAATTGTAACACTTCAACTTTATGCTTGAATATTTTAAATTATCAGATGAGTATTGATTTAATTAAGTTACATATATTGACATACTTAAGTGAATTTTAAATATTGCAAAAAATGAAATAAAAATACAAATGTCTATGTTTATGGGCATCTTTTTAAAATTGAAACTCAACTCTTCCAGTCATAATGAAATAAGACTTACTCGTCTTCTCTATACAATTAGAAAACTAGAAAAAAAATATTAAGCAGCTGCTTCCAGACATTGGCCAACAGTCAGTGCAGGGCTTTCAACATTGAGAAAATGCTCTGGTTTTCTGTGGGAAGGAACTTTCCAGATCATGGTCACATGGATGGATCCCTGTTGCTCTTGCTAAATTCAGAAAACAAATCAGAATTTGAGGGAGCTGAGGCGGCAATAGTAAGTGTTTAGAGAACCATAAAGGAGGTAGGTATGTAGAGACAGACTTCCAGAAATCTGCAAGGGAGTCTCCTTAATTTTTTTGTTCAATACTAAGCTATCTACATGTATAGGCTGAAATTCCAAATGTACAGTTAAAGAATATTCAGGCAGTTGTAAGCTGTATGACTACCAGAACTCACACGGCGCTGACAGACATTCACGTGCCAACCAGCTATAATGCAGTGACTTCTATGAATACTTGGGGTATAGCGTAGAGACCTCCAGAAAGGTTATAATAATATTAATAATAATAATAATAATAATAAGTCTAAACTAGCCGAGATTAATAACTCTAGACCCTCCCTATAATGTCTTTTTAAAAGTCTGAAAAGAATCAAACTAGTATTCAACTTCCTGCCAGAAATAAAATATAATGCTGTGAAAAAAAGAAAAATTTGAGCACTCAGTCACATAAAATCATAACATCCAGCATTCGGTCCAATGCAAATAAAAGAGAAGTACTTTAAAACATATAAATATGAATAAGAATTTCAAGGAAAATACAGACACGATGAATATAAAAAGGAAAAGCATTAACAAAATAGAACTTCCAGAGACAAAACCACAATATATGAAAAGAATAAATCACTGCATGGGATTAACAACACATTAAGCCTTCTAGAAGGAACAACATCCGTACACACAGAGATGGAAATAGAATCTCTATAATCTGAAGCAGAGAGTGGGGAAAAAGGCTAGAAAGATTAGTAAAACCTCAGGGAGACAATACAAAATGGCCTAACACGTGTAATCTGAGTCCAGGAAGATGAGGAGAGCATGGGGGCTGGAAAATTGTTTGAAGAAATCACTGGAATTTCCAAATTTGATAGAAAGTATAAACCCACAGATAGGAACTGCCCAAGTAACCACAAACCGGATAAACAAAACTACACCAAAGCATACCTTAATTACATTGCTGAAAATGAATGATAAAGAGAAAATGCTAAAAACAGAGAAAGAAAAAAGCACCTTAGCACAAAGATATGAATAATTGCAGACTTCCCATCAGACCTTATGTAAGCCAGAAGACAATCAAAAGACATCATTAGCATACTTAAAGGCAAAAACTGTCAACCTAGGATCCATACCCTGTGAAAACATCCATCAAAAATCAAGGTAAAATAGAGATGTATGAAGACAACAAACAAAAAATTCCGAGGAAATTGGGTGCCAGAAAACCCACTCCAATGAATGTCAAAGGAAGTTCTTCAGGCTAAAAGCAAATGACATCAGATGAAAACCTGGGTATACACTTCATGAAGGAAGAACATCAAAGAAAAATGAATCTAGTAAGATCTTGGATAGAAAGTCCATATATTAAAATCAATTTTATTTTTGAATACTATAAATAATAATTTGGAAAGTAATATTTCATATCATTCAATTATATATACATACTGTATACCATTCTATACCCCCACGATATACATAAGGATGAATTTGACAAAATATATGCAAGACCTAACATTGAAAATGACAAAACGTTGCTGAGACATGTTAAAGAAGACCTAAATAAATGGATTTATTTAGTATAATCTGTTAATGGATTGGAAAACTTAAATGGCAATTCTTCCCTAATAGATCTGTAGATTCAGCACACTGCTAATCAAAATCCAAGGTCTTTTAGAATAAATTGACAAGTTGACTCTAAAATTTATGTGGAATAATTAAAGACCTAGAATGGCCAAATCAATCCTGTTAACAAAGAAAAAATATATAAGACATATGTTACCTGATTTCAAGACCTACCACAAAGCTACATTTTAATGATGAAATTAATAACAAGAAACAAAATAAACAAGAAATTACTAGTCAACTCTTAAGATAAAATGCATCAATTAATTCTGCAAACAAAGCAGTGGCCTTGAACTCATTTCCTCCTTTCTGGTTTAGTTCATGTTTTACTGAAGATAAAAGTGTGTCTCTCTTGATACTGTTTCCATCCAGTATAGCAAATTTACAAGATTAGGACTCAGAATCAGGGAAAACAAGAGTGTGGAAAATGGCAATATTTTAAAAAGAGTTCATTTAAACTAGGGTAAACTCCACATTTTCTAATGATCACTAAGAATACCCCAGATTATTCTTCCCCAAATTGTTCCATGCTCTATTATCCAGTTCATTCAGTTATTTAAGGGTGATACATCACTCTTAGATACATGACTCTTGATTTGCCTCTGATTTTGCATATAGTGTTAAAGGTTATCATCTTACAATCTCACAATACAGAAATACCTATTACAACTGTTATTACAATGATCAAAGCTCTTTGAGTCTTCTGTTACACTTGCAAGTAAATTTCATTTCATTTTCTGAAGATTAATCACTTTTAATAGTTGCATGCATGTTTTCTCAATAGATAAATTTTGTAGCAATGCTGATTTTAGTACAAATTGTTCACTATTGATTGGCCATTTTCTTTACCATTGACTGTAAAAAGACACAAGTCTGAATATTTTTTTTTTTTAATTTCAGCATATTACGGGGGTACAAATGTTTAGGTTACATATATTACCTTTGTCCCACCCGAGTCAGAGCTTCAAGTGTGTCTATCCCCCAGATGTTGTGCACTGTACCCATTAGGTGTGAATATACCCATTCCCTCCTCTCCCCCACCTGCCCGACACCTGGTGAATGTTACTGCTGTGTGCACCTAGGTGTTGATCAATTAATATCAGTTTGATGGTGAGTATACGTGGTGCTTGTTTTCCCATTCTTGTGATACTTCACTTCGTAGAATGTGCTCCAGCTCTATCCAGATAATACAACAGGTGCTAGATCATCATTGTTTTTTGTGGTTGAGTAGTACTCCATGGTATACATATACCACATTTTATTAATCCACTATGTATTGATGGGCACTTAAGTTTAACCTGCAAGAGAGGAAGGATATTGTCTCTCTTGTTCACCATTATTTTCTCATATGCTTAAAACAATGTCTGCCTTGTCATAGACACTTTATAAATATGTGTTGAATAAAATGATAAATTGATATATAAAATACATATATATTTATGTATATATACAAATTAAAATTTTTGAGGCTTTCTATGTGCCAGACTGAGTAGTGGTTGCTCTATCTATATTATTAATATACCAAATAATTATCACAGGTCTATGAAACAGGTATTATTTTTTTTTCTTTTTTTTTTTATTTCAGCATATTATGGGGTACAGATGTTTAGGTTACGTGTGTTGCCCTTGGTTCCCCTCCCCCCAAGTTCATGTTTCTAATATGTCCATCCTTCGGGTAGTGCGCATTGCACTCCTTGTGTATACAAATACCCGTCCCAGGTATTATTATTATTATTTTCTTTAAGACAAATATGAGGCACAGAGAAATTTTGTGGTATGTCCATGGATACACAGGTAACAAATAAAAAAGACAAGATTTCAAGATGAAAACCCCCAGGGTTGTCAAATTAGAAAGCCCACATTATTTCCCATTATGCTAATTTCGAACATCAACACTTAGTCTCTTTTCACTGTATTGCATCTGAATGGAAAGTGACATGGGAACATATTGCTTCTAATTTTATTTATTTTTGCTCTGCAATAAAAACAACAAGCGTGTTTAACAAACATTTAGCAAATACCATGTGTTGCATATTTTCATATATTGCACTGGATATAAATTTGATGAAGATGTAATTCTGCACAGTAGAGGAGAGGGGAGGAAGAAGAAGAAACAGTTAGAAAATGTAAATTGAATCTGATCCACGCTAAAATTTTTACTCCAGTGTGTACTTATACTCAAATAATGGCTTGCATATATGCAAGGACTGACTGTGAGATTCCAAGGTACTTTCTATGCGAGAAGGAAAAGGTTGGGGGGAAGCCATGTATCTCAGTTTCTTGAAGGAAAAAACACTTCCCCAAAGGCCGGGGAAAAAGTTAGAAATATGTATTTTCATGGGGGCCTTGTTTCAGCAATACTTTTTTTCCCTTATGCTGACAAATTTTATTTGCCAATTTAATACCCTTATATAAAGTCCTAAAGATGAACGAAAAACTTTCGTGTTGCCTCATTAAATGCATGATTTATTTATTAATTTTCTAATACTCTGATAAAGAGCCACTAAAATGAGTTATTGAGTTCTTAAGAAAAAATAAGACTATGATTTTGAATTTTTTTGTGTATATTTATATCTATGTATGTATATATATTTTGGAATTGGATTTTTCATATATATATATATATATATATATATATATATCAGAGTTGGATCCTGGTACTTTCACATATGGGGTTCTTGCATTGCTATCAGCATAGATTTTTCTGGAACATTTTTCTATTGATCTGTTGGTGGCATCAAACTTCCGTTCAATGGTGCAGGAGATGCTTCTTCTGCCACGTGAGGATTTGGTGGCATAATTAACACAACCTGTGAAATCAATCAGAATGCCATAGGTGAGTCACCCAAATGACTTCAGGGTTTCCCTTTCCTGCCCACACAAGGTCATTATTGTCAGAGTTTACTCTTTCTTCTCTGAATTCATTCTCAAGATCAGTCTGGTGGGCTTCTCAGTCATTCTTTAGATCAGGTTAGATCTAAAGACACACACAGGCAGTGATAACTCTTAGCCCGAGATGCTGACGGCTGTTGCTGTGCTCTTGCAAGTGGGTCAATATCACATATGGTTAACGGTGCCCAACATGTTAGGTAAACCAAGGTGTCTTTCAAGCCAGGTTTGTCATGCTGATGACAATATAATACCCAAATTATGATTTCTTGGTTATAAATAAAACATTGCAAAAACCACACTGGCCCAAAATAGCAGGGATCTTCATGAGACTAAGAAAAATTATGATCCTTCTTCCACAAAATTAGTGTGGCATGGGGTTGCCGGGGAGTGGTGCCGGGAAGAGATAGAGATGTAGGCACTATTTTCCCCAAAGCCACTGCTGTTCTGGATCCATAGCAGGAGACTGGTGGCAGTGACATCCCCCAGCTACGCCAGGAGCAGCCAGGAACACAGGCCTAAATATTACAATATGATGGTTGTTAATTTGTTTGCCCCCATGCCCAAATTCTTGAAATCACTGTAATTCCTGAGAAACTCTCACTTTTAGGATTTTTATAAGGCAAAAGCACACTATTAGAATTAATACAATTTTGTCAATGTCTCTTCTGTGAGGAAGGGCTATGGGGGTGTCGGATGCGGTGTTGCCTGGGAGCCCCCAAAAGAAGACCAAGAGGTACAAAATGATGGAGAAGGGCACCAGAAACACAATCTCATCAAACTATGATTATTTTATTGCTTGGCTGTCAGTTTTGTCTGCCCCTGGGACTTTGGGTAATGAAGCTAATGAGTAGCTGTTGGGGTTTTGCTATCTATTTCCTTACTCCGGAACCCTCAATCCTCGGAGGATGCCCCTACCCTGTTCTTTCTTCCTAGAGCCTCTTTCTTGGTCTCTTCTCTCTTTCCATTTCCCACTTTCCTCTGTGTGTGACATTATTTCTGCTTAGCAGCCAGGACAGTCTGCTGCAGCGGTCAGAGTGAGAAAGTGGGCACACGTGCCCCGGCTGATTGAGAAGTTTGAAGTCCTGATGTTTCTTTGGTAGCCCAGGAAAGGTTGCTATAATAACATAATGGAGTAAAATCTAACACTCCTTGGTGACCTCTCCCCTATGAAATGTTCTCTGACCTGGACTTAGAGGGGAAATTTCACGGTAGTAAGGGTAGGGAAAAACAGCTTTTCTTGAGTGATGGTGGTAGGCAGAATTCTAAGATGACACTCAGTGAGCCACACTCTTGTGATCCCCTCCCCATGAATGGGGGTGTGATGTGTGTATATGAGAAGTTATCATTTCTCTGAGTTTATCAAAAAAGGCGTTATTCTGGATGGAACGAATCTAATCACATGAACTCTTTAAAAGAGCCTTAAGATATCAGAGACTTTCACCCTCCTACTGGCCTCAAAGAAAAAGTGCATTGTCTCGAGTTCTACACCTGAGATGAAAGGAATTCCGCCACATGAGCATGGAAGAGTATCAGAGCTTCAGATGAGACCACAGCCCCAGGCAACTCCTTGATTATAGCCTTGCAAGATTCTGGGTGGAAGTCACACTTCAGCCGTGCCCACATTCTCAACCCATGGAAACTGAGAAGTAATAAATGCATGTTGTTGTAGGCCTCTAAGTTTGTGTAATTGATTACACAGCAATAGACGATGAACACAGACATCTTCAAATGAGGGCCAATACTCACCCCACCAGGGCTACAACACATGACTTCGCATCCAAAGGCAGAGAGGGACACAGCAATGCAGAATTCCAGCAAACTTAAAACAGCCACTATAATATCCATACTCTGGGGAAAAATCCATGACAAAGGAATGTAAGGAATAGAGATGACAAGTTTCAAACATTTACCACTCACTACAACACCAAAAGAGAAAAATCACTGGCCAGGAGTTAGGAAACCTGGCTCCTAATTGCAGCTATTCCCTTGGCCAATTCTTGGTCTGCTGAATGTCATTTCACTTCTTACTTTTTTCACTTTTAAAATAAGATATTTTTTCCCCAGTCCACTACTTTCCAGAGCTATCATGGGCACAGAATTATTTGAAAGTATTTTAAAAAGGGGAAAGGATTTATAAAGATAATTGTCATCTTAGTCTTTTCGAGTACTATAAATTTCATGGAGTCAACACAATAATATGATTCCATATCTTGGTGATTATAGGCAGAATAATGGTTCCTCAGGGAGGTTCACACTCTAATCCCTAGAACCTCTGACTACGTAAGGTTACATGGCAAAGGGGAATTAAAGTTGCAGATGAAGTTAAGGTTGCTTATTAGCTGAGATGAGGGAATTATCTTGGATTGTTCAGGTGAGTTCAAAGTAACAACAGAATCTTTATAAGTGGAAGAGGCAGAAGAGTCAAAGTTCAAAAGAGGTTTGAAGATGCTGCATTGCTTGATTTGAAGATAAAGGATGGTGTGATGAGTCAAGAAATGTAGGCAGCCTCCAGAAGCCAGAAAAGGCAAAGAGACACATCGTCCCCTTGTGCCCCCAGAGAGGAATATGGCCCTGTCAACACTTGCATTTTAGCCTAATGAGACCTATTTTGAACTTCTGACCCCCAGAAATGTAAGATAATCTATTTGTATTGTCTTAAGCCACTAAATTTGTAGTAATTTGTTATAGTAACAATAAGAAACTAATGCATCAATGAACACCAAGTTAATCAATCTTTAATTCATCTCCCAAGAGAACTGGTTTTAGATCATCTTCGGCCAAAACACATGATCAAATTTAGGGAACACTGGGAAGTATACTTATTTCAAATAATCTTACCCTGGATTGATGTGGGGCATTCTTTGGTTATATTCTCTTTTTCTCTCTGTGGTTAGGGATAGTCCCTCTGCTATGGAAGGGCCAATAGACCAAAAGCTCAGGACACAAGTGATGAAGACTCAAGGGGACCTCAAGAAGTTTTGCATTCATTGTTTATTTACTCATGCCTTCAACAGATGCAGCAGCCTCTGTTTCAAGCATTGTTGTAGGCACAGAAGATAGAGCAGCAAACAAAACAGACCACTCCCCTATCTTCAAGGATTTCACCATCTAGTAGGGAAGACTAGGAGTTGGCAAACTTTCTATAATAGGCCAGATAGCATATATTTTAGGTTTTGCAGACCAGTAGGTCTCTGTGGCAAATGATCAACTCTGCTGTTATAACACAAAAGCAATACACAATATATAGACTAGTGGGCTTGGCTACATTTCGGTTAAACTTTATTTACAAAAACAGGCTCTGGGCTGGACTTCCAACAAAAAGCGTATATGTGTTTGAGCCATATGATACTGCTGTCTTTCTAGGTCAGGCGTGGTTGATCATTGGCAATTTCATATGGCTCTGCCTAATGATTCCAGGTAGTATGCTTTCTAACTCCTCTTTTCTACAAAAAGGTCACCTTTTTATAACCTCTTTTTATAATTATATACTTTCTAGTATTTCTTTCTTTTTCTCCCAGGAGAATTGGAGCTTCCTTATGGTAGGGAGCTGATCTCCTTGTTATGTCTTCCAGAATGCCCAGCCTGGGACTGGGCATAAAATATGGGCTCATGGGCTGGTAGACTGATGGTGCAAGTGCCCAGGCAGGAATAGACCTGTTGCTTCAAATTATAGGAAGCCCTTATGGGTGTTCTCTGTTGTAAGGAAAGGCAGAAAAAATGCCCATACAATTATAGGAATTCATAATGGCCTTTGGGAGAAGGTGATTGAGATGAATGAAGAACCAGCTACATAATTTACAGGGTATCTTGTTTAAATTTTTTAAAAGACTTTCAAGACAGCAAAAGCAGAGTATTAAATGAAGTATAAGGTTTTTCTAACTATGAAGCCCTGAGTAACTACACAGGTCCCAAGCTTGTGAGATTAGCCCTGCAAAGCTGGCCAACTCCAGATTTTGTCTCCATCATTGTGCCCTTAAAATCTATGACTGGAGAGATCTTCAGAAACCCAAAGTAAGGTTCTTCTTCAAGACAACAATAGCAAATAACAAGGGGATTAGAGATAAGAAGTTCCGGAATCGAATCTTGCTTTTGCCAATTTCTAACTTAGTGACCTTGGAAAATTTTGTCAAGTTCTCTGAAGAAGCTTTCTATTCTTATTTTGAGGAAATGACATTGCTTACTAAAAAGCCATTTGAAAACTCTAAGTAAATCAGTTTAGCAAAGACACCTCAGAGGTTATTTTGGTGTGAATATAGAGCCCTCAAGACTTACATAGGATTAGCTAGGAATGAAGTAAAAGGAATGCAATTGAATTCTCCCTATTAAGTTAGAAAGAATGTTGAGTTTTCACATACAGGCCAGGGAAGGAGAAAATGAGGAAAAGAGCTAAGCAGCAAGGCGAGAGGCTGAAAGCACATATGAAGCGAAGGGAACAGAAAATTTGGTGGTGCTGAGAATGGCCAATAGACCTTTTCATAGTAAAGATTTAACTGAACATTTAGTCTGCTACAACGTGTGGCAATAACTCTTCCTCCTCACGCTTACCCAATGACCCAAAACTTCAAGAAGTTTTACTGCCTACAAAACATTGTGCCAGTGGTAACTTGCAGAATAAAGCAATTCAGACAGCATCGGAATAAGGGCAGTTGGTACCAAAAAATGGTAAAATACAGCATGGAGACTGAGAAGTTGCCAGGAGCCAGATGTTGAGGCTAAAAGTGGTTAACCTTGCCAGAACTTCCAGAGAAGTTAGAAAGGACACTCACCACTTGCACGATAACAGTCAAGACAATTTTACTTTATTATTAGAGAACCATGTAACTCCATCAGGCTCCATTAGGAAACCCTGTGGACATATAGGGACTGATCTCTGGGCTCCATTTGTAGAGGGGATTAACAGTAATACTGATCAGTGCTTTAAAATCAAACAAAAAATTTACACAAAATGCCTGAACAGTAGCTATTATATTAAGGAGTAGGTGTTCTATAACCGTGAGTTTTTTCCCCACTTTGCCTCATAAAATACAGAGGAGGAGAAAAGAGAAAGAAGAGATGTGGACCTGACTCCTAATTGTTCTATTTCTCAATCACTTCCAACTTCCCAAAGTCATTCAGCAATTAGAAAATGTTGATTATTGCTCTTGCCAGAGCCAGCACTCCCAGACTTGCTTCCACCACAGCATGCCATGAAAAGAGGAAGAAGCACTCACCACTATAAGGGACGTGAGCATGACGCAATCTTCCACTGTCTGACGGTAGTTACAGTAAATGTAATAGAATGGAGAGATACTCGCACTGACTGCACTGATTACCACCCCCGATAGAGCCAAGACAGAGCTGGTGATGTTCAATCCAAGGCTACCTCGGACCTAGAAAAGAATGAAAATCAATTAAACAATCCAACAACATTCTCGGATATATCTCCGTGAATCACTTTACACCCATCATTGCTTTCCCAACACAGTCTATCTTCTCTATCTTGAATATTTCAAGTCTTCTAACTTATCCCCTTACAGTGGTTTCAGCTCTAACCTCTTGCCAAAACACAAATAAAATGCTGTTATTCCCAAGCTTAAAACCTTCAGATGACTTCCCCATGGAAGTCATGAGACAAACCGTAAACCTCCTTAGCACTGTGGTGGACAGCGCCGTCCGTGTCCATCCCTCTCACTGCCTGCCTCATCGTTTTCTAAAGGCTGCTTGCCTCTCACGCCTCTGTGCTTTCTGTGTTACCTCTGCCTGCTGTGTATGTCCTTCAACACACTCTCTTCTCATGGGCAAAGGCAAGGAGGCTTTTTATAAGAACTAAAATTGCTCAGGAAAGTGTGAGAGGTTTCATGCGGCTGTAGCACAAGACGCATTTTAATGGTTGCGGCTGGAGGAGATGCTAGGGAAGCAGATTGAAGCCAGATTTGGAGGGGCCGTATTGATCACGCTCCAGAGTTTGACATTTATCTTTTGAGCAAAGAAAACTCAAATATGATTGTGGTGTTTTTTTTTTTTTTTTATTTCAGCATATTATGGGGGTACAGATGTTTAGGTTACGTATGTTGCCAGGAAAAAATTTGTTGAGATCTGGGCTTTTGCGTTTTGTTGGCTTTATGAAACACATATTGGCATAGAAGTTACAATTTAGATTTGCTTATTCTTATGTATTAATAACTTCAGTGTGAATTTCTTTTATTGAAAACTAAAAATCCTTTATGGACACAGCGGGAATGCAAATTTTAATCAATCTGTCAATAAATATTATGGCATACCAATATTTGGTGTCACTGTCACCTGCTGGGTCTCAAGCTTCAGGGTTGTTTTGGACTGATCCTGCTTGACATTTCAAGAATCCTCTGTATCTTTATGAAGATTCTCTCGGGAACTACTTCGTCAAAATATTCAGTCTCATGTCAGTAATTCTGTCATTAGCCAGTTGTTTGATTATAATTTTTAAAAAAACAGATGCTACTAGGTAAAACTTATAATCACTTCTGATTTTTTAAAAACAAAGAAACAAAATCTGTTTTATGCCCTGACAGAATACATACTTGATTAATCCTTCCTTTCTTGGAATGCCCCCCCCAACAAAATAATAAGAAATATTACTCACCAGACCTTTTGTAGTTCTTTTCTCTGCTGCAATTGACAGGGATCCTGAAATAATAAACTAGAAATAAAAGGAAAAATGCAGATAAAAAGCTTTAAATAAACATTGGAAATCATAACTTAATACAGATTACTTCTAAATTAAATAGGCATGTTGAACAGACCAATTATCTGAGAAGAAACACAGAAGTGGACATGCATAGATATTTTTAATCTTGAAATATTATAATTTTTGAAATTGATAGATTTGAGGAAAAAAATCACATACTAATTGCTATTCATGTTTACAATGTTGATAGGACATTGAATTCAATCCAACATTATTATTGGCTTAAACATTATTGATCAAATATATATAATTGTATTTTCCATAACATGATAGAACATCTGTCTCAGTCTGAAAGTCTTTATTATGTTTAATGGTAAAACCCTAAGACCATCTCATCAAAGTCAAAGTCAAGATAAAGACATAGACTATTATGCCATACTATTCTGAGTATATTAACCAAAATACATACGAAAAATATTTGAAACAAATGGTTAAGATTACTATTGTTTAAATATGAATATAATTTATATTGTAAAAATCTAAAGAATATGAACTAAAAACTACTATAAACTATTTAAAAATTTAGCAAGGCACATGGGAAAACATTATATACAGAAATTATATATACATACTGTAGATTTGTATATGTATTCGTGTATTTGAAGATAGGATTGAATAAAAGCACCTCATTTACCATAGGAAAAAAATATATATATAAAGTATCTCAGAGGAAAAAATTTAACAAGAGATACAAAAGATACATAGGAATAAAACTTTACAATGTCCTAAAAGTACACAAAAGAAAATTTGAACAAATAGACTAATGTGGGAATAATTTTATGGGATTCTAGCAAAGGACAGATAGCTGTTTTACTGGAGACTAAAGAGGCTGAAAATATGAGAAATTTACAATTGGTTCTTGGGACTTATACTGTATAAGGGAGAAAAAAGAGACACTTTATGGGTAAGGTTTAGAAATAAGGCTGAAAGAATAATGGAGGTTAGCCACAAAAAATGTTTCACCAAATAAACAAAGGCTCATCTAGTGAGATGCCTACAATCATCTGAGCACTACCTCAGTTGGCAAACAGCCCTGCAGTCCTAATTATCCACTGAACTCGTGTAGAAGGTTTAAACTATGTAAGCTAGTTTCTGATGTGGTCTTGAAAAGGAAATGAAAAAGGAAGCAGAAAACTAGAGTGGTTAGATGTATGCAATTATTGGAATAGACCCACCCTACTTGAGCCCTGATTCCTGTACCAAATAGTTTTTTTTTTTATTTTAGAGTATTATGGGGGTACAAATGTTTAGCTTACATATATTGCCTTTGCCCTGCGCATGTCAGAGCTACCAGTTTGCCCATCCCCCAGACAGTGCACACTGCTCCATTAGGTGTGAATATACCCATCCCCTTCTCCCCCCTCCCACTTGCCCAACACCCGATGAATGTTACTACCATATGTGCACGTAAATGTTGATCAGTTAGTACCAATTTGATAGTGAGTACGTGTGGTGCTTGTTTTTCCATTCTTGTGATACTTCACTTAGTAGAATGTGCTCCAGCTCCATCCAGGATAATACAAGAGGTGCTAGTTCACCATCGTTTTTTTGTGGCTGAGTAGTACTCCATGGTATATGGGCAGGTTACTTAACCTAAGTCCGCATTTCTTCATCGATAAGGTGAGGATGATAATAAATCCTCCCTCAGAAATTTATGGTCATTATTTGAAATGGAATTGCACATATAAAGCACTTAGTAGAGTGCCCAGATCATAGTAAGAGCTTAATAAAAGCTATTATTGGTATTTTTAGGTTTAAAAAATGTTGTGCAACTTCCTGGAAGTAGAACAGCGTTTTCCATTCTTCAAATCCTGCACTTCTGCTGTAAACAGGTTCGGGGGAGCAAAAGCAAGCTCTATAGTAAAACTTTAAATTATCTCATTTTGAACTTGGTAGATTAATGAAAACCCCACAACACTTGAATAGATTCTCTGAGTCTCACATAAACCTGGATTATAAATTTTATTTTCCTATTGTCAGTAGATGAAACTTGTTATTTTATACTAAATTTCACTCTCAATTTGCATAAAAAACTCTCCTATGTTTTGTCTTGGGGGAAGATTTTTAAACTCTCTTAAATTTTCATTATAATTGTAGTTAATATTAATTATAGTTATTTTCATTAAACTTGTAAAACATATTTTACCAAATAGCAATTCCATTTTCTAAGATAACAGTGTGCTCATATTTGATAGTTGATGGGCTAGACACTGTAAATTGCCTGTGTACCAGCCACATCTCCTTTTCTTCCTTACTAACAAAACCTTCATTTAGCTTAGTCTCCTATGAGCTTCAGGGTAGGGTGAACTCTTCCCAGCTGCAGAGGAGGGTCTTAATTAGTCCAAGCCAATAATGGCAAATCCTTTACCCTTACCCATAGTTGGTTTTGGAATATGCATATAAACATTTACGTAAAGTGTTATGTGTCAACGATATTCCCCTCTGATATGATCTGCCAGCAGTCCTTGAGAACCTTGCCAGCATTAAATTAACCAACCTTGGAAATGACTAGCCACTAAGCTTATTGTTGTAAAATAATCAATAGTTTCAATGTTTAAGCCATTGGGTTTGGCTACATGCTACTGTAATATATCCTAACTGATACATATTAAATATTTAATCTGCCTAACTTTCTATGAGTTTTATATTATTATTACCACATTAAATATGAGAAAATGGAGTCAAAAGAAGTTTAGATACTTTTCTCAAATTTATAAAACTACAAGATAGAGTTGGAATAGGATCCCAGAGATCAGAATATTAACAGCTATGTTATGTCATCTCCAGTTACATCAGAAGGTTTTCTACTTACCATCACCGACCCCCAAATTGTGTATCCAATGTACACTGAAATGGGACATGATCCATATCCATAACATGGCACGGTGACACTCATCACTATTATTCCCAAGCTGAGGTTCATCAGGGAAATCAGGATCTGCACAGTCTAAAAATGGTGAAGAAAGTAAAAATTGATTATTCACCATAAAATTGGTATCCATGCCCCCTCCTTCCCAATCACTGTTACTCTTATTCTCCCTTTTTTGATATAATCATATGACCATCTTGATATTCTCTTATCACTTTTTTTTCCACATAAAGAACCATGAAAATAACAACATAACAAAATTATCTTTCAGAATATCCATCATTGTCCCCATAATTTCAATGTTAAAAGCGGTATATCAGAACCAGCCCAGAGGCAATTTTCTGATATCTAGGATGCTCCTTCTTCCAAGCTGTTGTTTTCCTTCATCATGTGCTCAGAGAGAAGTGACCAAGGAATTAAAAAGCAATTATTCTAGGAAAGAGAAGTAACCTGAAGGAAGGAGAGTGTATACAGAAGGAAACAAAAAAATAAAAGAAAATGTGATATTTTCTTGGGGTCTTGGTGCCTGAGGACGTGAGTATGAGTACAGGGGTCTAAAAATAGGAGAGTTGGAGGAGGGCAGAGCAAGATGGCCTAATAGAAGTCTCCAGCGATCATCTCTCCACCTGAACACCAAATGCAACAACTAACAGTGCAAACAAGCACCAAGAAGAACCAGAAGAACCAGAAATCAGTCGAGTGATCATACCATCTGGTTTTAACATTATATCAAGGAAAGATGCACTGAAGAGGGCGGAAAAGACAACTTCGCGCTGCTTACGCCACCCATTCCCCATCCCCCACAGTGCCATGCAAGCTCACCAAGGGGAGAGAGAATCTGTGTGCCCAGGGGAGGGAGAGTGAAGTAATTGTGGGACTTTGTATTGAAACACAGGGCCATGCACAGGGCATGCACAGGGCAGAATTCTGCTGGTGCCCATGGAGGGAGAATTAAGACCAGCCTAGCCAGAGGGAAATCCTCCATCCCAAAACCTGAGTTCTGGCTAGGCCCACCACTGGCTGAAAAAAGTAGACTGGGGCCTGGACTAAATTCATAGGGCAGTCAGGCCACAAAGGCTGCAGTCCTTGGGAAATTCCTGTGGCTGTGCTGGCTCAGAGCCGGTGAACTTTGGGATCCATGTGACCCAGTGAGATACCAGCAGCTGTGGCCAAGTCAGTGCCTGTGTCACTCCTCTCCCAACTATAGGCAGCACAGTTCAGGGAGAGTCTTCTTCTACTTGAGGAAAGGAAAAGGGAGAATTCAGAGGACTTTGTTTTGTAACTTGGGTACCAGCTCAACCACTGTAAAATTATGTACCAAGCAGACTCCTAAAGCCCAGAGTCCAGGTCTTAGTTCCTAGATGGCATTTCTGGGCCAGAAGGAAACATCTTACCCTGAAGAGAAGGACCCAGTCCTAGGAAGAGTCACTACCTGTGGATTAAAGAGCCCTTGGGCTTTGAATAAACATCAGAGGTAGCCAGCGACAGTCAGCAAGTTATTTTGTGGATATTGATAAATTGGCTCTAAAGTTTATAAGGAGAGGTGAAAGACTCAGAATAGCAAACACAATATTGAAGAAGAAGAGGTTGGAAGACTAACACTATCTGACTTCAGGACATATTATAAAGCTATAGAAACCAAGACAGTGTGGTATTGGCAGAAGAACAGGCAAATAAATCCATGGACAGAATAGAAATCACAGAAATAGACACATCAATATAGTTAATGATCTCTGATAAAAAGCAAACGTAAATAGAATGGAGAAAAGACAGTCTTTAAAAAAATGGTACTAAAAAACTGGACATCCATAAGCAAAAATGGAACCTAGACATAGACCTTATAACTTTCACAAAAATTAACTAAAAATGAAGTACAGGCCTAAATGCAAACCTCAAAACTATAAAACTTCTAAAAGGTAACATAGGCCAAATTCTAGATGACCCTGGGTTTGGTGATGACTTTATCAATACAATAGCAAAGGCAAAATCTATGAAAGAGAAGCTGGATCTTATTAAAATTAAAAATTTCTGCTCTACAAAAGACACTGTTAAGAGATGAAAAGACAAGCCACAGACTTGTAGAAGATATTTGCAAAAGACTTATCTGACAAAGGGTTGTCACCCGAAATATACAACAATCCCTTAAAGCTGAACAATAAGAACACCAACACTACGGTTAAAAAATGGGCCAAAGAACTTAACAGACACCTCACCACAGAAGATATAGAGATGGTAAAGAAACATTTGAGAAGATGCTCTACATCTTATGTCATAGGGAAATGTAAATTAAAATGACAATGGGATTCCACTACACACCTATTAAAACGGCTAAAATCCAGAACACTGACAACACCAAATGCTGACGATGATGTAGAACAGCTGGAACTCTCATTCATTGCTGGTTGAAATCTTCAAAATGGCAGAGTCACTCGGAAGAGAGTTTGGCAGTTTCTTAAAAAATATACAAATTCTTACCACACAGTCCAGCAATTGTGCTTACCCAAAGGATTTGAAAACTTAACGTTCATACAAAACCTGCACACAGATGCTTATAGTAGCTTTATTCATAATTGCCAAAGTTTGGTCCTTCGGTAGGTGATATGGTTTGGATGTTTGGTTCCTCCAAATCTCATGTTGACAGTTTATCTCCAATGTTGAATGTGGGGCCTGGTGGGAGGTGTTTGGGTCACAAGGGCAGATCCCTCATGAATGTCTTGGTGCCCTCCCCACAATAATGAGTGAGTTCTTACTTTATTAGTTCATGTGAGACATGGTTGTTTAAAAGAGCCTGGCACCATCTCCTCCCTCTTTTTGCTCCTGCCCTCCCCATGTGACACGCCTGCTTCCCTCTTCACCTTCCACCTTGATTGGAAGCTCCCTGAAGCCCTGCCCAGAAGCAGATGCTGACATGATGCTTCTTGTACAGTCAGTGGAACTGTCAGCCAAATAAGCCTCTTTTCTTTATAAATTACCCAGCGTCAAGCATTTCCTTATAGCAATGTAAAAACGGACTAATACAGTATGCGAACGCATAAACAAACTGTGACCCATCCAGACAACGGACTCTTATTCAGTGCTGAAAGTAAATGAGCTATCAAGCCATTAAAAAAAACGGAGGAAACTTAAATGCATGTTATTAGGAGAAAGAAGCCAATCTAAAAAAACCCAAAAAACTACCTATTGTGCAATTTCATTTGTATGATTTTCTGGAAAAGCCAAACTATGAAGACAATAAAAGATTAGTGGTTGCCAGGGATTGGGGAAAGGAAAAGATGAACTGGCAGAGCACAGAGACATTTTAGGGCGATGAAACTGCTTTGCATGTTATTATAATGGTGGATACATGTCCTTATATGTTTGTCAAAAGCCATAGAATGTACAACACAGAGAATGAACCCTAATGTAATTTATGGACTTTGAATGATGTGTTAATGTAAGTTCATTGATTGTAAGAAATGTACCACTCTAGCACAGGAGGTTGGTAATGAGGAAGCTGTTGGTGGGGGGAAGCGGGCACAGAGGCTACATCTGTACCTTCCTCTCAATTTTTCAGTAAACCTAAAACTGTTCTAAAACCTAAAGTCAAAAATAAACCTAATGTATGTCAAAATAAACAACATACTTCAAGAAAAATAACTACATTTTCCAAAAATAAAAAATATAAGAGTGGAAAAACAAAAAGGATCCAAAGGGTTCACAGTGACTTTTTCCCAGTGGTTTGAAGATTGGGCTAGAGATAAACCTCCGTATTTCATGCATATTTCCCTGTCACAACCCACCATTCTTTAAACTATCCATTTCTTTTAGAAACACTCACCTGAGCCTCCAGATAGAAATGCTCAGAGGATAGATTTTTCATCCTCTGAGCAGTAGGCTAAGAAAAGGTACCAGAGGGAAACAGTAGCAATATGGGCCCACCAGCTTTTGCTGCTCTTCCATGCTGAGGCTAAATATAATTATCATGGATGACCCAGAACCCTAGAATAGATCTGAAGTCAATATATTTTAAATATAAGTAAATTGGAAGCATGATGTGATAGACTATTGTATCATTTTTCAAATGATAGGTTCTGAAAATTGAATGCTGTTGTCTCTTGGGCTGATTTATGTATTGTAAGGCTAATGGGACAGTGTATTGGGCATTAGTTCTGATCAGCTGTGAGTTTACAACACCATTGCCCTTCTCCCAGATCCGTAAGCAACTTACCCCAAGGACTTTGGGTTTCCCCTTCAAGAACTTCTCTTGCAACCTTTTCCACGTATATGAGTGTAGAACAGCAGGCTGGGGCACAGCAAGGCCAGCTGTGGTCTGTTCCATTCTTTGCATGGTTTCCATGGTAGCAGAAAAAGTGCTACAATAAAAAATGTAATTTAGGATGAGGTCCTGAAAATAAGAGAGGGGCATGACACTTTGAGGCAGGTTCCTCCCTAAGGACAAAATCTGGTCTACATTCTCCTCCTATATTATATTAACTGTTAAAGTCAGAGAAATCGAAGCAGCAACATGGGCGTGGAGGGGGGCAGAGAGAGAGAGAGAGAGAGGTGCTAAATGCCATGGATATCAAGATGCTAGAAAGTCTTGTAGAGAGGGAAATATGGACAGAGTGAGATAAATATGTTGGATCTCTCAAATTAGAGAAATTTCTTCAAGTTCAAATCCTGAGTCTGCTCAGATTTTATCTCTATCCCTATTATTGTCTAGTCCCTTGATTATAAGTATTTGCCCATTGAAGGATGACTTTTATAATAGCAATAAACTACACAGACTTATGTGCTTTCCAATTTATTGTGTAGTTTTTTTTATAGTCTCCCTTTTCTAATCAGAGCACAGTCAAATTCTTGAGCTAGAAACCTTCCTAGGTTCATCTTTACCGAGTGTGGTTTATGTAACCTTATATCTTGTCCTGTAAACTCTGAACTTTGGGAATGGAACTTACGGTTCTGAATCATATCCTTGGCACTACAAATTTAAATCTTTTATCCTACTACAGTGCTTTAAGTCCCGGCTTGCCAATGTATAGCAAGGATAGATAAAATTATTTTTCTGAGACTCCAAGCACAAATACATTACTCTTTTGCCTCTTTCTCTCCTCAACATAATAATGCCAATCAGGTTATGTGAAGATAGGTTTAAGCTGCATGAAAATTTTTATCTATTTGTTTGAATTCATATTCAGATGCTTCATGTCCCACTTCCATAAATTTTGGGGGAAGTGAACCTTGCTAAGATTCTTCAAGCCACGGTTGCTTCTGATACTATTTATGCTTCATTGAGGCCCCATAAAAGTCTCAAGTTTGAATATGTGTGTCTTTTCATTATTAATAGTAGCGTAGATGAAAAAAAATTATAGCAATCCAAATTTGCTATGTTCAGGAAAAGAATTCGGATTTCACTGGCAAGTGTTATCAACCTATATTTGTCTTTGATCAACTAAGGGAAATACATTATTAGCTGTGCATCAATAAAAATGATGTAAATCAAAGAGAGAGGGTCAATTTTAGAGAAAGATAGAGGGAAAATGCCTAAATAAAAAATGAAAATAAAAGATTAATCATTTAAAATATTAATTTAATTTTAGTAAGATATATATTCAAAGTTACGGAGAGCAGTAAAATAAAAAGTACAAAATTAAAAATCATAAAATAGTAAGTTAAGTAATGTTTCTAGATCCCAAGAAAGAGCTGACACTGTGCCCTGCCCCACATGGCCTGAGCGGCTACTGTGCTGCCCCTTCTTGGAACCAATGGTTGAGTGTCTCTTGCTCCAGGCACGAGTAGCCATTGCTCTCCTCCACCACTGCCCCACGCCCACCTGGTAGCCTGCGGTACCCAAGTGGAACTTCTGCTACTCCCTGCCCCTTGGGGCCAAGCTGCCATGGAACAGCTCCGCATCCCAGTGGCTGGTGCACTCTGCCCCTCAGGGCCCAAGCCGAAACTGCCCCATCCTGTGGGGACCCAGAGCCTTGGCTGAGCTGTGCCATCCGATCCTCCAGGCCAAACAACCTCAGTGCCCCACCCCTGGAGTCTGAGCCGCTGAGGCACTCTGCCTTCCCAGGGAGTGGAGTCATTTCTGTACTTCTCCACGGTCCCCAAGGGCCAAGCCGCGGTTGGGCTTTGCCATTCCTGGGACCATCCTGCCACTGCACCCAGCCGCACAGAGCGTGGGCTACTGCTGGGCTCCACAGTCCCAGGGTAGACAGTCACCACTGCATGATACCCTGTTGTCTGTGGTCAGAGTTGCTGCTGTACCCTGTTTCTGGGACCTGGATTGCAGTTGTAACCTGCTCCCCGGGGGCTGGGCGTTCAGAGCACCCCTTCTTCCGTGGAGCCGTGCTCACGCTGCACGCTGCCCCGCAGAATCGGAACTTGTTAGTTGATGCTGAAACAAATTAAGACTTCTTTTTTCTGATAAATTATCCAATCTGCAGTGTTCTGTTACACCAGAAGAAAACAGATTGAGAAAAACATCAAAAATATAAATTGTCATGGGGAAGATAAAGTTTAGAGTTTTTGTATGTGACAGATGTTAGGTTGTTATCAGGTTAAAATAGTGAATTATAATTAGAAGATGTTTTATATGAACAAAAGTGGATAGAGCCTCAGAGACCTGTGGGACACAACAAAGCGTACCACCATATATTAATACATAATGGGAATCTCAAAAGGAGAGGAGAAAAAGCAGCAGAAAGAATAGATTAACATTTCACAAACTTGAAAAATATGAATCTACATATCCAAAGAGCTCAAGAAACACCAAGTCAGATAAACCCAAGGGTATCCTCCACTAGACACATAACATTCAAATTGTTGAAAATTTAAGATAAAGAGAGCATCTTGAAAGCAGCAAGAGAAAGACACAAAATGATTGGAGGAAGAGGGATAAAAAAATAGTTAAAACATACAAATCGTAACCAAAAGTGAGTTGGAATGGTAATACTAATGCAATGTGATAATAAAAGGGTCAATTCACAATTGGAGCCTCATAATTATAAAGATATGTGCACCTAAAAACCCTAAAATATGTGAAGCAAAACTCAGCAATAATAGTTAGAAATGTCAATACCTCACTTGAGTAGAAAAACTAGGCAGATCATAAGAAAACAGGACTTGAACAACACTATAAACCGACTAGACTTAACAGATATTTACAAGGAACTCCACCCTACAACCTGTACATGAACTTTCTTAGCAGCATTATCCATAATACCCCAAAGGTGGAAACATCCCAATTGCCTATCACGTGATGAGAAGAAATGTGCAAACGAAATAGATCTTCCGTTCACCAGACTAGTGCAGTGGATCCTCTTAAGGAAAGAGGCTCTGGAATTACAGCACCTGGATCTCAAGTCTGGCTCCGCCACTTTTCTAAATCAATTAATCTTGTGTTTCTGCAACTCTATCATGTGAATAATAGTGCCTATGTCTTGTGGGAATTTAACAATGAAATAATACATGTAAAACATTTAAACGAGTACATGTCGCATAATAAATCTAAATACATATCAACTATTATGGTTGTTGTTCCTACTATTACTTATTGTCTAGCTTCAAGTATAAAACAGACTTCCACTAACACTCCTGCCACTCAAGGACATGCTAGAGAGGGACTTTATTCCTGGCATTCTTCTGCTCCAATCTGCTCCTGTCTTGGGGAAGTGGGGAGACCGAGGAGAGGGGCCTGCCTATAGGATTGGTCAGAGCATGGTATTCATGGGGCTCATGTGGTCAGTGGTTGAGTCTTCCTCTCTTTCGCGATTTGTCTAAAAGATTGGTCAGAAGAGTCAGAGTTGTCCTATTTTTGCTCTCACAGGATAAGCTAGATATAGGGCTACGCAGAGTCAGGCAAAGAAGCCTTCCTCTTTATCTTGCCATCTCTTTTCTGATGATAATAGGGTTTGTAGGTAGGTTACATAGTACATGCCATTGAGTAGGTGTATGCAGACCTATCTGTAGACTTTAGCATCCTCTGAGCAGAACACAAGATGTAGATTCAGAGAAAAGAGATAGAATAACATAGGAGACTTTATTTTTTGTCTTAAATCTAATCCATACCCTCTAATCCTGTTATACTTGGGAGAACTGTCTTCCTCTGAGCTTAATTTATAGTCATCATGATAAAGCCCATAATTTGATCATTTAGTAACTTGTCCCAGAAGGGAGAAGAGGTAATCTTTATTTCAAACATTAGAAGACCTAAATTGAAAATAGCCAGTCTTCCTCAAAATTTCTCTTTTGAAAAAGTAATGTGGTGCAAGGAAAAGTATGTAGAAATTATTTCAGAACCCTACAAGAGTGGCACCAGCTAAAGGTAACAAGAACCATAATATGGCAATGGGACTACAAGTGTCCTTTATTTGTGGAAGGTTCGACAATTAACTGAGTTGTCTGTGTTAAATACCTGGTAGTTTGTCGCTGATGCCTTCTGTTACCTACCCTCTAAGTCCAATTATATTCTAATACTACAGAACCGCTTTTCAACTCTCTATAGTTCTCCCACCTCCTCAAACCAAGCCATTATCCTATTTTTATCAGGGGTATTGTCATAGCCTCTTAATGTTCCCCTGTGTCCATTCGTGGCCTTGTATGTCCATTGTATCCCTCATTTTGTAGCCAGGATAATTATGTAAAAAAATGCAAAAACAGTTGTGTCACCCACCTCTTTAAAATCCTTCCCTTGCATTCTCCTATCCTTAGTATAAAGTCTGAATTTTTAATGTTGTTAAGAGAAACTCTGTTACTTCAGCTCACACCTATTATCCTAACCTTTCCTTGAATCTCTCTCCTATTTATTAATATTTGTTTATTTAGAGACACAAGCTTGATCTGTTGCTGAGGCTGGAGTGCAGTGGTGTGATCCTAGCTCACTGTAACCTCCAATTCCTGGGCTCAAGAGATCCTCCCACTTCAGCCTCTTGAATAGCTAGGACTACAGGTGCACACCACCATGCCTGGCTGATTTTTAAAATTTTTTGTAGAGACAGAGTCTTGCTATGTTGCAATCCTCACCTCGGCCTCCCAAAGCCACCATGCCTGGCCTTCTCTTTTTCATTTTTAAAGCCCTGCAACATAGTGAGATCCTGTCTCTACGAAAATATTAAAAAATAAAAAAAAATGGCCAGGCATGATGGCGCATGCCTGTAATCCTAGCTATAATACTTGGGAGGCTGAGGCAGAAGGATCACTTGAGTCCAGGAGTTTGAAGCAGCAGTGAGCCATGATCGTGCCACTGCACTCTAGCCTGGGCAGCAGAGCAAGACCCTATCTTAAAAGAAACAAAAACAAAAACAAATATACTTGACTTATCTCAGTTCTTTCAGAGCAGGAATTTCATTTCTATACTGGGACATTCGCATAGGTTGAGCCCATTTGCAGGAATATTCCACCCCTCCCATGACCACCATGCAATAAGAATAACAAAAAACCCACCCCAGCATCTAATCTTGTCATACACTAATCATATAGAAGTCTCTGTCTTCTCTGATGCAATTCCCCACCTCCCTCAGTCCCCACATCTGGAACACTAAACCAACGTTAGTAAGTAAGGGTTTACGAAATCTCTTTTATTTCCCTTTTACACCATAGAGGCCAAAGTTGTTGTAAACTTAGCTAAAGATGATTCCTCTTAGTCCAACTAAATGTGTACTTTAATTTTTAATGTAAAGGAACCTCTGCCTTGGTGTCTCAGACATCCTTCAGACCTAAGATTTAGGAAATATAAATTCTGTCTTATCAAACATGCTGGTGACTCTTCTGCCTTTAGCATCTCTCTAGTAAGATTGTAAACTTCTTCTTCTACATTATATCATATTATATCATTATATTTTCTAGCAGTTTTTTTTGAAACCCTAAAGAATCTGCTGAGAATTTCTGAGAAACACAACTAATTCCTTTCATACGTCGGAAGGGGTAACTGATTTTGTGTTGCCAATATAGATGTGGATGTCTATTTTGAAATTTGCTGAAAAAGCAGTGGCTGCCTCAAACAGTCTTTCTTATGAAAATAATAGTGGTTATTACTGTACATATCAGTGATTGAGGATGCATACAAGTGACGCCTACGGTCTTTCCATAATTCTCTGGTGACATAGGTCAGGTTCTGGTGCTCTGCCTTTATAAGAAACTCTGGCCATAAATTTATATAACTACCTTCTAGCTTCACCCCACAGAAACCCATGTGTTAATAACCTAGGACAGGTAAATTCCCCAAGGACAAAAATGTGCATTGCTCAGCTTCCCTGTTTTTGAATACCACGGAAACCAAAACCAAAGAGGATATTGGACAGATATGAAGGACATTTCTTCCAGGCTGGGGAAGAGTCTAAACCTTAGTTTTGTCACACCATATATGACACATATCAGGCTATTGACAACTGGTGTCTTTTTTTCCCCCCTTGTACAGAGAAGGAGAAACTTAGACAACTGTTCCTCCTTCTTCTATTGGCTCCAGTCTCCTTACGGATCCACATCACCGCCAACCTTTTGTTTCCTTATTTTTGTATCACCATCCCCATCCTGGGTCGCAGCCGTCAAGGAGGGGCATGAGGAGAGTGGTGCAAAGGGCCAGCGTTCCCTTCTTTGGCAAACTTATAAAATAGATGAGAAACCCAAACGGAGGCCTGAACCTGGATGGTTTGTTAGAGGATGATGATGGGGATGTAGAAATAGTGACCTAGGCAGGGAAAAGGCCTGGACTAAGAACCAAGAAGTCTGGGATTTTTAGCTCCTAGTTTTTTTGTTAATTTGTGTGATTCTGGGTATGTTATTTCCCTTTTCTGGGTTTCATTTACCTCATCTGAGGAAAGATTGCACCAGGCACAGTTACCTCCAAGGTTTTTTCTCATCCCAAGAATGCTAAAAGTCCTCAGGGTGTCTTTCACCAGTAGACTTCTTCATGAGCAGCTTCAGTTTATGGCCTGGGTGCCCCATGAATGGCGCCAAAGACCACTGGAGAACGTGGTCAGGCCACTGTCTGTCCCCAGACCAGCGTAAATGCACAAGACTGGCGACCTTGCCTTCACCCCACTCCATCTCTACCAAATTGTGCAAGGGGCAGATCTTTTTCTTAAATGTTGAATTATAAAAATAACAAGTCAGAGAATAAAGACCATAGAAGAAGGAGCATTAAGAGTAGATGAGATAATTAGTTAAAAGTTTAAAATATTGCTTTTAGGTTTTTGATAGCCTGGGAATTTAGAGAACAAAAACAACTAAAACAACCTCATCTAATATCTAGCTTCAGCTTTTAGGATTCTTTCCTAATTCTCCTAATTCTTCCCTAATTCCCCTTTGATGCTCTGTGTCAAAGACTGCTCCTCACCCCCCATCCCCACCAAGGGTACATCTAAAGGTGCTCTCAACCTACCTCCAACCCAGAATGAAGCTTGCCCGTGGGAAGTGGTCTCAATTTTTCTAATTCCACTCCCAGAAATCCTAGAATCAGGAAATGAAAAAAAAAAAAAAAAACATTAACCCAAAAGCCTGGGAAAGCAATTCCCTGGACCTACCTTTCTTCAAGCCTGCAATGTCTGCTGTGTGTCTGATGAGTGGCTCTGGGCAAAGGCCTCAAGGTTCTTTAGAGGATCCAGATACAGTCACCTTCCCCTACTCCACACCTCACTGCAATCCTCTTCTTTAAATCTGCAGTCCTCTTCTTTTTGAAACCCTAAAGGCTATGCTGAAAATTTCCGAGAACAACTAGTTCCCTTTTTATGTCGAAAGTGCCGATTTTGTGTTGCCAATATGGGTGTAGAAGTCTATTGTCAAATTTGCTGCAAAAGCAGTGCCTTTCAGCACTGCTTTTATAAATTGCAGTTTCATTTGGGGCAGGAAAAAATAAATACCACAAAAATATAAATAAATATTAGTGGTTATTCAAATCCAACTTCAATGGCTTCATGTTTTAACAATATTCTTCACAGTATCCTTTCCTCTGAATTCTGAATACAGAATCATCAGTTATTCCAAACTGCCTATAGTATATTCAGAAATCCAAAAAAATAGTATTCTCTGCCAATCATTCATAATAATTTGCTTTAATAAAATAGTGAATGAATTAAAACTATATTATAAACATTGGGATAAAGTCGACGGACTTTGATTCAAGAAGATTATTATACTTGCTATGGTTTCTAGGAAAAGGGTATTAAAATCATAAGATTAAGAGCTAAGAGGGAGGACAGATGGTCAATGATACTAAGGGAAAACCAGGACAGAGAGAATCCATGAACTCTAATCACATTTGCAATAATTCTTTGCTATGAAGACTTTCTAGGCAACAAGGTGGCTGAAGACAATAAGATACATTACTGAGAGTGAGATGACCCAAGTTTTAATCTCAGCTCAGCCACCGGCCTCCATGTGATGTAGAGTAAGGTTTTGTTTCTTCATCTTTCTGAGTGAGGAGTTGAAATAGGTAAGTTCTAAGGACCCAACAGCCTGATCTCCAGGGATTCCACACTTGATTGGCTCTTCCCATCTGATTATCTCACTGGCAATATGAACCAGCTTATTTGAGCACCTCCTCCCTTGCCATCAATACCATGTATACCTCATTATTATTCTTTCTGACAACCTGAGGATATTACTCTGCAAAACTCTTGAAATATATTGGGCTTAATGGAAGATGCTGGCACTCAGGCTGGGAGAGTTTGAGTTGAGCTGTCTGTAACATAGCACACATAAGCAGAACAGCAGGGCTGAAAGACCAATATCGCAACCAGTGTCTTCTGCAACAAAGAAGAGTGGATGGTGCCTGAGTCTTCACCCTTCAACACTTTAAATATTTTATTCCATGCTTCTCTTGTTTGCATAGCTTCTGAAAAGAAGCCCAATGTAATTCTTACCCTTGTTCCTCTATAGATAAGTTGGGTTCCCCCCAACCCCTCTTTTCCCTTTTCTGGCTTCTTTCAAGATTTCTCTTTGATTTTCTGCAGTTTGAATATGATACGTTTAGGTACAGAGGTGTTTTGATATTTAGTGTGCCTGGTGGTATTCTCTGAGCTTCCTGGATCTATGATTTGGTATCTGTCACTAATTTTGGAAGAATCTCAGTCATTATTTAAACTTCAAATATTTCTTCTGTTCCTTTCTCTCTTGCTTCTTTTTCTAATATTTCAATTATGTATATATTAACCCTTTCAAAGTTGTCTCACAGTTTTTGAATATTCTATTCCATTTTTTTTCATTCTTTTTTCTCTTTGCTGTTCAGTTTGGGAAGTTTCTATTGACATATCCTCAAGCTGCTAACTTTCCCCAGCCTTGTCCAGTCCTCTGATGAGACTTTCAGAGACAATCTTCATTTCTATTGCAGCATTTTTGATGTCTACCATTTCCTTTTGATTCTTTCTTAAAGATTCCATCTCTCTGCTTATATTACCCCTTCATTCTTGCATGTTGTCCACTTTTTGCATTAGAGACCTCAGAATGTTAGTCATAATTATTTTAAATTTCTGACCTGATAATTCCGAAATCTCTGCCGTATTTATCTTGTTCCACTGCTTGCTTTGTCTCTTTATGCTGCATTTTTTGCCTTTTTAACATCCATTGTAATTGTTTTTCGATGGCTGGACATAGCATAAAAGGGACTGAAGTAAATAGCCCTTTTGTGTGAGGAATTTTGTTTATCTGGCTAGAAGTTAAGCCACATTTACTGTTTGCTGCAGCTATTTGTGTCAAAGCCTAAAATATCCTCTAGTATCCTTGTTTTGGTCTCCCCTGTGATCCTTTGGTCTATCTAGAGACTACTTCTCAAATAGGGTCTGAGGTTTACAGTTTTTAGCCCCCACCCCAACTTATGTGAGGCAGGAAGGCTAGAGGGGGCTGTAGCTGAATATTCCATCTCCCACATGGAGGGCTAGAGGAAGGTGGAGTTGGGGATATCCCTTAGCTCAGGTTGGTTAGGCTCTGATAAAACCCAAATAGGTTAGACTCTGGTAAAGTAGTTTTCCTTGAGGGTAGACTTTGGTTAAAGACAATAAAATGCTCTGGGAGTATTTCAAAATGGTTATTTTACCTTCCCCAGCCAGAAACACAAGGCAATTTTCCCTGAGAACCTGGTAAGACTTTTGGAGGTAAACTTCATGAAAGTGTGGGACCTCTCCCCCAACACTGGGCCCCATGGAGTTTTCACCTTTCAAGTTAGTCCACTTTGAGAACCCAGCAATTCATCAATGACAATTGTATTTCCCATACTGGTAAGCTGTGACTCTGTTTATGCCTGTCTCTCCAAATCTGGGGGCAGCAGTTGTCCTCGTGATCTCAAATCCCTGAAGAATCTAGAAATATTTGCTGATTTGGGGTTTGCTCAGCTGATTTCTTATTGTGAGAATAGGTGTGGCAACTTTCAAGCTCTTTTCATGTCAGACTAGAAGCCAGAAGTCCCAGCCTTCATCTTTTATTAAAAGGTGATCTAGGTACGAAAGCTACATGAAACATCAGGAAAAACAATGGCAACACCATTAGAAAAAGAAAACTGCTCAATCCAAGGTTGAGATTTATACCTATTGCCAGTTTTTTTTTTCTCCCTGGAGGGGAAGAAAGGGAGTGAGCAGACACTACATCTTCTCACCCATTTATACTTTCAAACTTCCCTGTTCATCATCCCTGTGAGCCAAAGCCAAGTCGCGTTTGATCGTTTCTCTCAGGAGGGAGGACCATATGGTTTAATGGAAAGGACATAGTAGTACTAAGAAGCAGCAGATCTGAGCGCTGGACTTAATTTGGTCATTTGCCAACTGTGACTGGAAAAATTTCAACTCTCCTACATTTGGTATAATAAAGCAAACCATTCAGGCTTGTTTGGAGAATTAGGGACTATAAATAGAGAAAGGGCAAAGCATTTCTTTTCCTGTCCTTTCTCGGCATTGGTGCAGCCTCTGGCAATAGCTGCCTCTTCCACAATTCCACTACAAGGAGCACCTCTTCCAAGATTCCTGCTCTTGTTGGACTCCATTAATATTAATATGAAGTTCTCTTCACATTCCTTCCTGCTGTTTCTTATCTTGGTGCCTTGTCTTCTCTCTTTGTTCCTTTAACTGTACCCAAACTCTGTGAGGTCTTCATTAGGGTCCCTTAAAATAAAGCATGTGGGATGAATTCCGTTTCCTGGGGAGACCCTGACTGATATACTGGGCCTTCAAATTGATCGAATGAGGGGAAGTGAAAGGAGAAGTGTCTAACCAACCTCCTGGGCTTCATCCTGATGAGCAGCAATGCTGCCTCCCAAGAGTCCAATATACCGTTCCCTCTCTCCTGGACTATTGCCTTAGCCTCCTCACCGTTCTTCCCATTTCTTCTCCTGTCCATTTTCAGTCGATTCTTAACATGGCAGGTGGCCAGAGAGAGATCCTGATAAAATACAAGTGAGGTCCTATCTTCCTTTTGCTCAAAATCTTCCCATCTCACTCAGAATAAGTCTCAAGTCCTTAAATGGCCTCAATTCCTTTTACAATCTAGCCCCCAGACACCTCGGACAACATCACCTTCTCCTCTCCCTATCCCAGCCTCAATGTGTCTTCAGACACTGCCACCTCAGAAGCACCAGGCGCGTGCTCACCTCAAGAACTTTGCACTTTCCACGCCCTTAGTCCAAAGAATTGATGGTGAGCTCTAGGGATTCTATCAGGTTCAAAAAATAAGCACTTGGTTCCTCTCATTTTTTTTTTTTTTTTTGGTCACTGTGTTGCCCAGGCTAGGGTGCCGTGGCATCATCCTAGCTCACAGCAACCTCAAACTCCTGGGCTCAAGCGATCCTCCTGCCTCAGCCTCCCAAGTAGCTGGGACTACAGGCATGCGCCACCATGCCCAGCTAATTTTTTTTCTATATATTTTTAGTTGTCCAATTAATTTCTTTCTATTTTTAGTAGAGACAGGGTCTCGCTCTTGCTCAGGCTGGTTTCGAACTCCTGAGCTCAAACAATCCGCCCGCCTTGGCCTCCCAGAGAGCTAGGATCACAGGCGTGAGCCACCGCGCCCGGCCAGGTTCCTCTCATTGTATCAACATTATTGGGTCAGAAGAAGAATAGTACTTGTATATTAAGTTAGATTAAATTTAATTCATCTAAATTGCTTTTGAGAAAATTCCTTTATTATCTATTTTGAATAGAGAGTGAGAACCCTAAGAGGTATTCAAGCAACACAGAGTAGTTACTAAATTGCTGTCATAAGAAAAGGTGTGAGTAAGTTAAAGTTCCTGTGGGGAGGCAGGGCTGGAGAAATCTAAGAAGGAATAGTCAGTAAAGTTCTGTACTGTGTAAAACAAAGGAAGAGAGAAACAAAACAAACACTCCAATAGTGGTAATGGCCTAGCCATGACGGAACTGGGTATTGCAGAAATATTCAGAAGTCCTGACTTTATTAGATATTTTTATCCTCCCCCCGCCGCCCCCCCAGCTCTCTCCTGACCCACTCTGTGGCTTTGGGCAAGTTCATTTCTATCTGTCAGCTTCACTGGAAATGACTAAGTTGGCCTCAATCATCTCTAAAGTCATTTCCAGCTCCACAAATCATATGAGTCATCCAAAAATCTCTTATTGACATATTTCCTTAATATGTGGTCTTCAAGTCCCACACCATGCAGGAGG